TTATTCAACAATCAGCTGAACTCATTAATTATCCAATCATTATCATTATGTTTCTTGTTAGAGACGATCAAAATTAAGGAGTTGATCTAAATATTGGATATGATCTGAATATTGTATATGATCTGAATATTGGATATGCTCTACTAGCGCGATCCGACTTCGCTATATCCTCCTCTCCACCAGCATTTTCTTGTTAATGTTGGCCAGGTAGCCAGCTGTAGTCTTCATCCATCCATATTTTTGCTGCAATCGAAAAATTGGGTCGAATATTGCTGTTCAAATGGAACAAAATTAGCATGGCAGTTCTATCGACAGTTTGATTTGCCCAAAAAAACACACCTAAATAAGTCGGTCGAAAAACTGCCTAATGATCTGCTGATTACTCCTAAAAGAATTATCGGGAAGTGAATCGGAGATTGTTTAGAGGCGAGCAAGTTAACACACTAAACAACATACATTTTTTCTTAGCGTTTAGAGAATATGTGTAGGCGACACCAGCATTGTTCCAAAGAAAATCCAGAACGTCTTTCGTTGCCTTTTCGTGCATACTCGGTATCGGATATACCACGATGAATTCAGGATGCTCTTCAACAATATGGTACATCTCGTCCATCATCTTATCGACCACAGCGTCGGACGGATCCAACCTTGGTGTAGGCGCTAATCCTACTGAAAGACGAAAGTCCAACGGAACATCTATCTTTGTCAGCTGGTTATTGATGGTAAAATCAACTTGTACGAGTAGATCACATCATCAGATGATGTTTGGTTTGTTGATGTTTCATTTTTGCATCAAGATAATTGCGGCAATCTCGATAAGAGTGAAAAATAATGAAGCTCGAACTTTTCGGCGCTCAACTAACTAACCTATATCTGGATCCTCTGGGTTTGGTGATTTAATTTGATCTGAAATCAGTGATTTCATCATTTTCTTTCAAGTATCGTTTCTGAAAAGCCTTTCATGAATGTACCAGTGAAATTTCAAATTTAGTTCCTCCCCGACTCAATAGTACGAGCCGTAAGAAACGATCGTATAAAGAAAAAA